TATTGTTGTCAACACTGACGTGTGACACAGTCCAATCCGAACGCACCAGATTGATTGCGTGATTGAAGACCAGGCTAGAGGGGTCGAGACAACAGATTGCCGTGTGCTGGCGTACACACACATGTGATCTTCGGGACAATTTGTAGAGCGAGACAGACTGTCTGACCGACCGACCGACCGACTGTCTAACCAGTCCACTGAGTCATGGTTGTACTGTACCAATAGCTCCCCTCATCCGCATCCGAACCAATCAGCAGTTGTCCAAGTGCGCTCTGATTGTCTAACTGGTTGCAGACGGAGTCTGTCTGCAAAACATGAACATGTGTACACTTGCTCGATTTGCAACACATACACACAATTTGGTTTCTATTCCCTCCGGGTTTCGGACGTTCAGAGGCGGGCGGATTGAGCGCGGAGGCGGTGTGGTGTGATACGGTGCAAATGGGGATGCAATGAGACCATCACATTACGACAGCTTGTTCCTGAGTGTGTGCGGTGTCTCATTTCCGTGTCGGTAGTCTCCATTCGCACGCACCTTGGCGATCTTCGAAACCGATCACGGTGGAATGCGAACCCAGACATTAAGCTGACTCACGTGGTCCGTATCATGAGGTGACTTCAGATTTGCCCTTCTTTCTCGATTCTCATGGGCAGTGAATGACAAAATGAAAACGTAGACTAGCATGAAGGTAAATTCACACGGTGATAATCGTAAAAAGTATTCAGTCACAAATGATAGACTGGTCAGTGTTTCACTATGGAATGACCAGGTCTTGTGTCCTAAATTTCGTTTCCTTCATCAGTAAAATGCACTGGAAATCGGACATCCTGGGATTGTGTGACGCATACGGTGACTGAGAAGGTTGACCCAGCTCCATACCATTAGCATCATAGCCATAGCGGCGGTGATGGTAGTGGCGGTGGTGGTGGTGGTGGTGATAGTCGCAGCGACGATTACCGCTTCGCTGGAAAGAATACCGTGTAACTAAATGGGGTCATGGCTTTCGCTTCCGATATGGCCAGAAACGATTATATTTGGGACAAATCGTTGTGAGTTCTTTTAATTGGACGATGTAAAAAAGGAAGCATTGTCTTATTCTGTGTCAAAAAAGTGAAAATCACGAAAGTATCATTCACAAAGGTGTACGAATAGCACATATATATCATAAACCATCACGGTGACAGACATGATGAAAATGTAACGACACAGAAAATAGAGCGGGGGTATTGAGGTATGAATAAATAAAATCGATCAACTAAGGAGAAGAAAAAGTTTCTTTTTTGCAAGTTGCATCGTGTGCATTTTTATATCACTTTTTTGTATTGTGTGTTTAAATGTCCTTTATAAGGCGCGTGCATTGACATATTTAACACCAATATTTACAGATACGGTGCCAATATAACCATGGGTTTAACGTGAAATATAGAAAAAGGGGGAAAACAGAAAAAGCAGCCAACTTTGATAATAAAAATGTTTTTGTTTTACTGCAAAGCATTTTGACTTCTTTTGTTTTATTTTGGAGATCGCACACAGGAAGGGATGCATTCATGTCACTGACTTCGGTTCGATGCTATATCCCGCAGTGTCTCTGGCCCAAGACAAATCTTTGGGGCCTCAGCTGGGGAGCAGGGAAGCCCTGACGCAAGCCAACTCTGAGCACAATCTCTTTTACCTTCCACGCAACGTCATAGCCTGCCCAGCACGCTGTTTTGTTCCAACCAGGACCAGTGTCTTTAAACAGTGTATGGAGTCGAGAACGTTTTTCAGGCATTTGTAGGACGTGCCGAAATCACCTAAGACGATGTAATGCAATTGTTTTGCTCAATGTAAGACTATCTGATACTATCACACGTTGTCTAACCTCGTCGTTATTCACTGGATGCTCCCACTATACATGGATGATGTTGCGCATACAACGGTTGTCAAACACGGATAGTCATTGGACATGATCTGCTTGGGGAGGCCAGGTTTCTCAGCGACAGAACAACACGGCGCGTACCGTTGCGCAATGCAGCGAAAGGGATACATTACGTCGGTGCCAGAGATGCCGAAGATTAGCAAACACTAATCTGGCTTTGATTACGCATTGGTAAATCTCTTCGCCCACCCGTCCGCTAGCTGTTATGCAACTCCCGAGGTGGGCAAAGCTTTCGACTACTTCCAGAGTGTGGTTACCCAGCAAAAGTGCAGGACCCGGATCCTGACAATCTTGCAACAACATCTTGCACTTTGAAGGTGCAAAGGACACCATAACGAGCAACTTCAATTGACGAACGATTCACCAACTCTTAAATCGTCAGTGCGTTGTGAACGAGTAAGGCAATATCATTGGCATACTCTAAGTCTACAACTCTGTCTCCAGGAAGAAGCTGGACACCAGTATTCGTTACGTTGAGTAACGCGTTTTGTAGAACATCATCTATGGCAAAGTTGAAGAAAAACGGAGAAATGGGGAAACCATGTAACACCTCACTGGTAACAGGAAATGAGGGTGTAAGTTTACTAAAGGCCCTAACCTTCCCCGAGGTCTGGCGATAGAGCTCTTCCAGGAATAAAACATACTTCTCGGGTACTCTATATCTCCGCGAACAGTTCCACAATGCTGGGCGATCGATGGAGTCAAAGGCCGCTCTGATGTCCGAAAACACGACAATAGTTTGCCTTCTGTATGCGCGGCGGTGTTCTGGTAGCTGAAGGAAGGTGAAGATTTGATCTATGAAACCACAACGTGCTCGAAAACCAGCGTGCTCTTCGCGGATTCGCCTTTTGCGAAATGGGCTTAGTCTGCGTAATAAAACGGAAGCTAGCAGCATCGGCGCATTGAAATCAGACTTATGCCCCTGTGGTTGGGACAGGAGTTCCGACAGCTCTTCTTGTAGATAGGTGTAAGAACTGACTCTCCTCATATGTGGAGTACACTTCCAATTTTCCAGATCTTCAAGAACAGTTTCACAATTCCTCTCATGAGAGCTTCTCCACCATCTTCAAAGAGGGCAGGTGAAAGGTCGTCTGATCCAGCCACCTTGTGGAGTTTCAGAGCTTGGAGTTCCCTTTGTATATTCGCTTCTGTGAACTGTCTCGTGGATAGTTAGCAGGATGCACTCTCAAGAAAACTACTTTGGGTAGCCGACGCCGGGGGACGGGCTGCACTACAGTGGTAAGTGTTCCAAGCGTCAGTGAAGACTGTATATTAGCGTGCCGTCTACTTCGCAGATTGTTTCACTAGCGTACTGTGTTTTGAGGCCCGTAGAACGAATGAGTTGAAGTAGTTGCCGGGTGTTTCCACACCTAGCTGCTGATTCCATCTCCTCTGCACGTGGCGTCCACCACGCTTCTCGGTCGTCTCTCAAACTATTTTTGAGTCTACGACTCAGAGAGAGGCACTGTTCACTATACGCACTGTCTGCCGGGATTGACTGATGCGTGTTAAGAAGTTTGAGAAAGTTGGCGCCGACCCAATGTTTTACAGCTCGACGGGTCAGGCCACAACTATGTAAACTAGCGGATTGCATTGCGTTTCGAATGATGGTCCGGTGTTGATCTACGCTTTTCGGTGGGTTAGTAGTTGGCCTTGCGGCCAACTCGTCTTGGTAGTCGGCTAATACTACCGGATCAGAAAGCTTGACCACATCAAGTTGTTCGCATTTAGTCTTTTTGCGGCCACTAAATCGCTTGGACAACTTGGCACAAACCGGTGCATGGTCGATGTCCAAGCAGGTAGACCAATACGAACGGCAATCTTTCACACATCCTTCCCCCCTATAGCTAATAGCCATATGAACAATTTGACTCCACGTCTGTGCAGAAGTGAAGGTACTCCAAGTGGCGAAGTGACGCTTTGGGTATCTGAAGTTCGTGCTAACGAGGAACAGACTGTGTTCTCAGCATATGCTAAAAAGTCTATCACCATTGTCTGCACGAGAGTTTCAAGGCCTTGATGGCCACTAAGATCGGTCTCTTCAAGCGACAGACGGCCAACGCGTGAGTTTAGGTTTCCGACCAAGATCACAATATCCGTCTTAGGTGCTTGAGAAGAATCTCATGTAGGTTGTGATAAAAGGCGTCTTTGACTGTATCCAGGATGCAGTCTGTTGGAGCGTATACAGAAACCACGAATAAGTACCGTTTGTTTGGTTCCTGATTTTTGAATTGAATTGAGTCTCTGAGTCTCACTGCGCACGGTCGGTTGTCTATCGAGATCCAATCCAATAGACTAGCCTCAGCCCTGGCGCTTAAGACAATATCAACGCCCGCTTAAAAAGACGCTGATGCGATAGGGTCTTCGGAAACGCGCAGTTCAAAAGGCTTCTTTTGGATTGGAAGGAGACGGATCACTGAGATCGGATCCTGAATGGTTGTTTCCAAGAGGCATCACACATCGATCTCTAGACTTTCGAGTGTTGTTGTCTTATTATACGCATTAGGGTTTTAAAGTTGAACAAAGCCTGTTTGTACTCAGACTGAGATCGGAGAAATGGAACGGTCGGCTCCCGAGACAGATTTAAAGGAGGATAGCGGCGAGCTACAACATGAACCTACGTTATTCGAACCGCTCGAGTTGGGATAAACAGTGGACTAGATGGACTGGGAGTAGGTGACTGACTGACTGGTTTATACGCCTTCTGGATGTAACCAAATATCCAAGATAACCAAATTGTCCTTGAACCGCTCAATTGCCAGTTAGCGGTGGTCAAATCTAAAGGTTAACTTTGGAAACTGGTTCGTTTGCGCCGAGGATTACTGACACTATGAACTTCTTACGCCAAGTGTGACTGGTTTGGAATCAGGGTACGACCAACTCCCCAAAACTGACTATCAGTGGTTAGTCAGCTCAGTGGAAAGCTCCAGACATTCGCCTTTGACCCTCCACATTAGTTTTAACACCACTACGAGAATACAGTGGGTAGGTCTTCCTCAGCAGAAACTATTAGAGGAGCTTGGTGGTTTGAGAGCATTTCTAGAGGAGTCCGGGACGAATGAACATTTTGGAGCCCGAGACACTCACTCACGACCATACTGAGATGCTTGGAGGCTTTAGGAAGCACAGAATATCAACAGCCAGGCAGTGGAGCATTGGTTCTATATATCACTATCCCGATTCAACAGCAATAATCCTCTCTTGGGCACCAACCGGAAAGGCGGAAGGCACTCATCATAGTCGATGCTGAAGCCAACTTCTTCATACCGTTCAGTCAAGTCATGGTTTTGCCGTCATGTTACTTATTTATGCCTTGCCCATCACGTTCAAGGAGAGTACGAAGATGTATACGATGGGCATAAGTACATAAACATGTCTGAAACATCAAAGACTTTGACAACAAACTGCTCTTTCAGAGAACCATTATCAGCACTCAACACGACGACCAACTTTGTCAATAGTCACTCAGTGTTCTCACCAGATACGAACAATGCTTTAGAGACATCTGTAGCGTATCCAGCGTAGTGCCTCAGGGCTCAGTGCTAGACCCGATGTTCTGCTGTTTATAAATGACTCGATCCATGACCTACTTGTTCCTGGATTTATATTTGCGGATGATGTAAAAGTAGTGAACTCAAGACCACTAGATTAACTAGAAGTTGATCTGGCAAAGCTTGTCCGGTAGACACA